AAATACTGAAAATTGAGAGTGCTGGGCCAATATGCAGAAAAGGGCATTTATAACTAATGCAGATCTGATGTGTTTATAATGAAATCTGCTTTCCAAAGGAAAATGCTGTTTTCATTTAAGCTGAAATGTTTTAAAAGGCACTAGTCTTAACAAAGCATGCTGTAAGCAAAACAGGAGTTAAATACCAGACTGATTTTGACACTCTCAGTATAGCATGTTTTGAGCTTTGTTTAAAAACTTTTTCAAAACATGTTTATGTTAAATAAAATACAATTTTAAATGGCAATCACATGTTTTCCATTTTCATGGAACATTTTGGTGTCGTCTTGTGCTGATTTTGTTCTGCTTGAGGACAGAAGAGGAGGAGAAAAATAAAATCAAAGAAATGGGATTTGCTGTGAATGGAAAACTCAAGTTCTTTGTGATTCTGTCTAGTTCACTGCAGGCTCATTCCCAGACTGGTCAATATGGAACTGTCCACATGTGGAATTTCAAGGTGTCACTGTAATCAGCAGTAGCCAGTGAAAACAGCTCAATGGGATCAGATATTCCCAAATGACCTTTTTCCATCAATAGTACTTCCAGCTTGGCTGATAACTGTGGGTACATAGATGTGGTAATGTTTTGTAAGCATCACCCTGCACACATTAATAGCAGGCTTTTGGTTCTTCATCCATTAACCTATAGATCTCAGAAGGTAAAAACTCATTATTGAACAAGTTTCTGGTGGGAATCAGTGTCTCAGCATCTTTATGGCTGATCTGGAGATAAATAAAACATCATTTGCTAATAACCACGGCAGATGGAACAAGGATTGCCTGTCATCGCTATTTCCCGCTTCACCAAGCATGCAACGTGATCTGCCTTGCCTGATGAACTGGCCCCAAGCAGGCACAGTGCACTGTAACAAAAAATTCATCTAAGATCATGCCAGTGGAATGCCCAGAGACACCTCAGCCATAGCACTTCCTTGGGAAAGGTGTTGGACACAACGAGCAACCAAGTGCGGTTTCCCACTGACATGCAGTGGGATGAAGAAGAGTATCAGTGGGAAGCAGTGAATACCTGCAGGTCAGGGACTTCACTTCCTTGTTCAGCCCAGGCAACAGGAGAGACACTCTGCCACCTATGGTTTGAAAATTATTAATAGCAAAGAAAAGGAAGAAAGCCTTTTGGAAAACAACCATTTTGTGGGCAATGGATTGTCAGATGATTTGGCAATAGAGTGCAAGTAGTCCCACTGATAGAAAAATACCTGAAAAGTCTCTTTGCTGTAGCAGAGGAGTAGAACCATCAGCCCATTTGGAAGCAAAATCTAGGTTACGAAACAATCAGGCACAATATTAAGGCTGAGGCTGAATATTCACTTGAACAAATACTGATGAGTTGGGAAACTCATCGGTGTTTTCAAGCCAAATGAATTTGTGGCAGATACATTTTAGTGAAGTACAAATCATTAGCCTGATTACAGGCACATCAGTGGAAATGCTGTGTTCCCTGATGTCTGGCCATTACTGTGTCTGGTGCTACAAAGAATTCAAGTCATATTCTTCTGTAAACCATGCTGCAGTTTCTCTGTCATTAACATCTCTGCAAAAGGAGCCTGCATGGTACGTTTATGATGCCATTTAAGAGCCACAGCCTCTTCCCAGTATGACCAGTGATGGTATCCAGTGTAAACATCCATGTGGACAACAGTCAAACCCCAGCACCTCTTTCACATGGATTTGGCAGGCAGCTGCAGGGTCATTCATGTTGCTCCCTGCTCGGTCCATAATGTTTTACCTTATGCATTTCCAGAACAGCACCAGGTTTCTTTGGCTGCCAGGTGAGGCCAAATGCCTGGGTGGTGAGCAGGGAGCACATATATCCCCCTATAGGCCCTGATATGGCCTGCACTTCCCTGCTTGACATGGCTCTGGGTTATACTCCTAGGCTGGGTGTGTCACACAGGGCAAACACCATCCTAGAAGTGGTGCTGCCCTTCATAGATATTGGTGGTGAATCAGCTGTGGAAGATAAATAACAATGTGAAGCAAGGATTAAAGGTTGGAAACATTTTTTTCCCCATTTCTGGCATCTGTTGGTTCCTTCACAATCTTGTCATTGTTTGGGAAAATGTCTGCTATAAAAACACTTAGATCAGATGCTTTGAGATCAGCATCTAGTGTAACAGATGAGAATAAAAATCTGTTTGATATTAGAGAGTTTCTTTTAGTTCTTGCAGGTTAGTGATTCATCAGGCATTTCAGATGTGAGGAGCAGCCCATTATTGGCATGTCCACTGGCACTTGCGAGGGAGAGACCTCCTAGGCACCAGAACTTTGCAGTCACTAAAGTGAAGACAGGTTGATGTTGAGACGGACCATGTGGCTTGTCTGTGTCCCCTAAATGTTTAGTTACCCATGTTCAGTGTCTTTCTGACAGCACCAGCCTTCCACAGTTTGAAAACCACTAGGTAGCAGTGGAAATATTATACAAACGGCTCTGGACATCATAACCTGGTAGCCTTCTACCACTGCATGCTTAGGTAGGATATTCAACTTTGTATGAATGTTTTTATATTAAGATATAGTAGACATTATACATATATACTAACTCTGCTTCTGCTGAACTGTTCTTTTGAAAGAACCATGTGGGGTGAAGGAGGCTTTAATACTGTGCTGTCAGTTAACTTTGGAAATTATTACATTTTTGTATTCAATTGGCAAATGCACGTGTACCAGAGAAGAGAGCAGTGACTGCAGTCCATCTGCACCAGGGGGTGTCAGCTGGGACATGAACAGATTTTAAAAGATTTTCAGAGAGCAGAATTCAACTCTGCAACGAGTTTGTTCTGGTCCTAAAGTAGGACATTGAGATGGGATATAGGGTATTGCTAACACCTTCCTTAGCATGAGAGACAAACACAATGGAAATTGGTTCTAGGGTTTCTTCCCATATCCTTGCTCAGACATCCCTCCAACATGATGTGCCTTTGGCCTCTGGGATCTCAGCCTTGGAGGCAGGGTCTGCACACACTGGAAATCCACCATGTCTCAGTATTTGTTATGAGAGCAAACAAGACCCTGGATCTATTTGATGGGTCAGAAAAGAAGTGGTAAAATTGCACTGGCTCTGTTGAAGCATCAGGAAAAGCAATGGTCATTACTAGTTTGCATTTGTTCTTTCACAAAGTGATGACAGTTTGCCCCAAAAGGCTGCATTTGGCCATTTTATGCATCTGTGAGGAGCTCCAGCTGTTGCTTCCTCTATCTTTGCATTGTTGTAGTCAACTGAGACAATACCACACTCAAATAAGGGCAACGTCTATAAATAAAAGCTGTTTAAATGCCAACAAATAACAAATATGTTGACTCTGGAGGCTGATTGATTAGAAATTATTTATATTTTGTAGCTGCGCTTTTCAGCACTACCAGACTCCCTGACAGTACCATCCTACATTTAATTGCAAACAACTGGAGTAATTTCATGGCATTTTGATTGCATCTTACAACACATCCTGCAATGTGTCAGCTTGCTTTCCAAATATCTCATTCCTGCTTCTCCTCTGGTCACTGAGAATAGCCACATATGGACAAAGCTTTTCTGAGCAATTTACAATGATTCTGATGGAAATTAGAGAGAAATCCACACCTGGAAACTTCTCTGGAGTATGAATTTTTAGCTCCTACGAGTTGGTAGGGATTTGTTGCCCTTGTTTTATTTCTATTGACTCAGCATCACATTTTTTGGTTTCTATTTCTCAGTCTGTTGCAGGAAGCTATTGGGATTCAGCTCACAGAGGCTTCTAACAGGAGAGCTGTCAGCTGTGCTTGATCTCAGAAGGAAAGGATCAAAAAAGTCAGGGCAATACTGAGGAAGAGGGTCTGCTGAGGGAAGGAAAGTGATATATGAATTATAGCTGGACTTCAGCATTATTAAAATGGGTGAGACATGGCTCCGTCTTTCCTCACAGCTCCAGCAAGTTCACCGGAGGCCATCAGATAGGGGTCCTGGGGTCACCAGATCCTGTACCCCAAGGGCTCAGATCATATTTTCAAGGCAGAAGAAAAATAATTACTTGTCACTCTGATACGCAATTACTGGACTGACTAGAGTGGCGAAGGAGACCTTTTTTGGTCTCAGGGAAAGAAAATAAATGCAATGTATTAGCAGGTCTGTCATGCCAAAGCATCAGCTGAAGGCGAGCAACTGGCTGCCAGGATTAGCACCCTTCCTTGGTGGGGAGAGAAGTCCTTGCACAATGTGGAATGAGGCAAATGAAGTTTTCAGTGCAGGAGAAGAATGGGAAACACTGCTGACAGCCAGCTCAACAGACTGATGAAACAGCAGCCCCAGGGAGACTGTTCAAAGGCTCTTTTGGTTATTTAATGAAGTGTGGTTGAGTTTTGACCCCTCAGATTCAGCGCCGGAGGTTTTCTGTGAGAGTTTGAGGTCTTGCTCCTATCCCTGGGCTCACTGGCTACTCAGAGAATTTTTTTAATCATATTCCCTGTAATGGTTTTCTTTCCTGCTGCGTGGAAGGCCACTCAACTGACAGAACAAATTCCTCATGTGGTGAAGTGGAGATGGGGACCAAGCCCAGGAGCCCATTGCAAGCTCAGGGAACAGAGGGGACCTCAGCCAGCTTGGGCAAACCATATCTCCGGGCACAGCCCGGTGAACATACAGCATTTACCAGTTCCTATGGAACTTTTTACAACAGCAGATTAAAGAAATCAATTTTATTTAGAGAGAAAGGGCTTGTCTTGAAACTGTTGAGCAAGTTCTTTTAGACCACAGCGGATAACTGCAGTGACAGGGGCTCCCATTACCCTCATTAGCAAAGTTTTAGCCTTTGCAAAATGCAGGCTTGCTCCCCTTTCTCCAGAGGTTACTGCCAGCAGGATGGCTTCTCCCTTCTCCCTCCCTCCCAGGCCCCAGCTGGGGACCTGCCCTCCTGCACCCAACCCCAGCAGCAGCCCTGCCGCAAACACAGCCACGGTGTGGAAAAGCAAGGCCAGAGAAACGCATTTTCAGCTCCACTTTTGTAATTTAAACTCAGGAGAAGCACCCAGGTAGGAAGCCCCCAGCTGCTGCTCTGTGCATGGCCGCAGGCCCCTGGCTCAGGTCACCAGCAGTGGAATTGCTGCAGTCCTCCATGCAGGCCTGGCACTGACACTTAATGGCACCGTGCCAGCCTGTGACATGGGAAAAATACCCTGAGGCCACAGTGAGTTTCTTCCAGTGGCCCAGCACCAGCAGTGCTTCGGCCTGTGGGTTAGAGCACGTAGAAGTCATTGTTGTTTGACAGGTCACTGTAATGGCAGAGGGCGAGAGCGGGGCCCTGTGCCGCCGGCGGCTCGGCTCGTGCCCTGCCCTGAAGGCCCTGTGCCGGCGGCCTGCCCGAGCCCGGGTTGCAGAGGTGACTGTCCCACCTGGGCTCAGCCACGGCCTGGTGCTTGTGTCTGCTGCTGCCATTGCAGGAGGTCCCACAACACCGGCACGTCAGGAAGCGCTTGGCTCGCTGTTTGGCCTTTGACTCGGAGGCCGAGGCCGTCCCTCCGTGAGTGAGAGTCACAGGAGTGGCACCCCGTGGGTCGGGCTGCCCTTTCAAGCGGCTCCTTCTCCTCTGGACGGGGTCCAGGCTGATGTCGGACTGGGAGGAGCAGCTCTCGTTCCAGCCGGCGCTGGCGCTCAGGCTGCGCAGCGGCAGGGCGAGCCGCAGCGCCTTCCAGAACTGGGAGCCGGAGCGCTTGGACTTCTCCCCCTTCCAGGTGACGAAGGAGACAGATTCCTTCAGCTGGAGGATGCTGGGGTGGGTGCACTGCAGCGGCCTGTACTCCACCACGATGAGCTTGGTGGCTATGGCATTCTGGCACATGATGCCCAGCTTGAACTCCAGAAGGCTGATGCTCTTCTCTGTCAGGTAGTCAGGACTCAGGACCACGATCATCCTGCGGCTCCTCTGGATGAAGTCGAACACGGCTTCAGTGGTATCTAAGAGTACAAGGGTAGAGGAATTGGGGTGCACAAGGAGAAGGGAGTGGGGAGAGAAAAGCTAAGGAAGCTGTTTGGTGGCATACCTGCACAGATCCCTCTTCCCACAGAGGGAAACTCGGCACAAGCTCTGTGACTTTCAACTTGCCCACCCTCCTGCTGGCATCATTTTTGCTGTGCAGTGGGTTTTTGAGAAGGCTGAGGTATAAATGAGAAGCCAGAATATGCCATGATTGTACTCTGACTTCTGCACAGCATCAGTCGTGCCCAGAGAAGTGCAGGCATTTGATAAAGGGTGGGTCTTGTTTGGGAACCCCCTGCCCACAGCTTGAGCAATTCTTTGCATTAGGGGATCAAAGCAATCATGTCCTGCCCCAGCTCAAACTGCAGGGGCTGACCCACCTCCCCCCTGTCATGCTCTCTCATCTTTAAGAAGAACCTCCAAATTTAGAAAGCAAAAATGTCAGCCTTAAACCCCTCCACCAGTTCCTCTAGGCATCATGGGGGGTGGAAATACTGTCCTTCAAAGCATTTATTGGAATTAATTGCAAGTTGTAAAGCTCAGGAAGAAGCTTAGCTGAAATGGTGCCAAGCAAGAGCAACATTTCTTTTATTACCAATTTTGAAAAGCAGCAAACCTGAAAGAAGTCCTTGGACTTCTACCTGTGGCTTGGGATACAGAAAGTATATTGAAGGTGTAGTGGCTAAAGGGTGAGCAGTGGAAAGGATGGGAACTATATGGCTGTGGCACTCAGCAATTTAACAAAAGCTGAGTAATAAAACTGTAAAAAATTTTAAAAACCAATACACTTACTAAGTGCTGGTGCCTGAGATGAGAGGGGATCCAAGGACAAACTGGTGTTCAAGCAAGACAAGGATCATTAGAGTAAGAGCTCTTGCACATTCAGAGAGAAAAATCTGCCTCTAGGAATGTCTTTCAAAGAGCTGTTCTGGGAAGAAGAACTACCTCCTGCTTCCCTTCCATTTCACACTGCTAAAGCCTTCATTCCTCAGGCTGGAGACTCTCCTCTCTCCCTGACAGTGGAACACTGCTCTTTTATATGAATAAAAATACTGTTCCTTCCCTGCAATGGTGATGCCTCTTAATTCTCCCAGCACTTGGCTGTCTCTTATCTCACAGCAGAAGGTGCACTGTGTTGCATCTGAATGCACCTTATTTTAATACGGTACAGAGCAGTACTTTTCAAAGAAGTATGACTAGCTGTAAAACTCATTGTCACTAGATTATTTGGAGACCCAGATAGGAAAAATGATCATACAGTAAAATGCTAATGGAGAAAGTAGGAGGCTGTTTGGTTAATAAAATACTGGAATTAAAATCAAATTATTTTGAGGGGTTTTTTTCCTTGTATAAAAAGTTTGGTGGGATTTTTACCCCCAGCACACACAGGAAAACACTAATTCATTGAAACCAAAAGTATATGATAGTTCTGTCACTTACCACCATGACACGTTTTTACCACCCTATTTCAAAGGCATAAAGAATTGGCAGCAATCTCCTAAGTCCAGACCTCATTCAAACTTTTCTACAAGTGATTGAAATCTATTTTGAAAACAGCCAGGCTTCAACAGTTTGTGAAAGAAAAAGCTCTTTTGCTGTTTGAAAGGTCTTTCTTTTTGAAACCAGAATCACAGAACCACAGCAAAATGTAAGCAGGAGCAGCCCCTGGGAGGTCTACCTGCCTGCTCAAAAAGCCCAGCTTCAATTAACATGAATGACTCTGATGCTCCTGAAATGAAATGTTTTGATTGAGGCAACAGTGCTGGTTTTCTTTTATCAATTTTGAATTTGCAACGCTTTTTGAGAGTTTTTATTTTGAGACTCATGTTTTTTGACACTTTTTTTTTTAGACTTTTTTTTTTTTTTTTGCAAGGAGGGTGTTCAAATTTCCAAAGATATATTTGATTTTGAGAAAGGGATGCATTTAGACTTGGCTGACCAGGGTACCTTGGGATGTTCAGTTTGCAATGTTTACCCAGCTCAGGAAAAATCCTGAGTAGACAATCCACAGTGCAGGTAGAATGTTCCCTCCCAGTGAAACAGCACTGGATGGGACAGGCAGCAATAACACTGCAGGGGCTTGGGGATTCAATACTCTTTTTCTAATTTTTCTAATTAGATTTTTCTAATCTGCTTTTTACTAAAAAACCTTCCATCTTTACTAAATGTTTGCAAAAGGCACTGCATATTTTTACTGGTTTACTTGTGTCTCCCCAATGCACCCCAAAGATGTAACAGATTATAAGGATTATGATCACAGATCCCACACCCATAGACTCAAATCCATAGGTGGTCACAGGTACTCATTTTGCTAGTGGTCTGGAAGTGCTGGACTGTCTCTCAACTTACCTGCAGGCAGACAAACATGGGAAATGGGCAAGAAAGTGACCTGGATGAGAAAATAGGAAGCTGACTGAACCTAGAAACTGATGGGCCTGAGAGTGAGTTTGATTTCTGTGGTTTTGGCAGATTTCTAAAATTCTGATTTGATATTTAAAGCAGAGATTATGTTGCCTTCCCATCTTTCTGTCTTGTGATTGCCAAGTGAGCACTCTAGATCAAAGACTTTCCATGTGTGCGTGTCCACTGCTGTGAGACATCTGAATGCTGTGTGTCACTGTGTTTCTGCTTGGATGGTCCTGGGAGCTCAGGTGCCTCTGCAGGCACAGCATGAAACAGCCAGGGAAGCGTTCCATTCCAAGGAGGAGCCCCGAATGATCTTGATGCTTGGACTACACACAATCATCTTTCTTTAACAGCATTTTGCAGACGTAATGAGAAGATGGTACTTATGAGAAATGCACAAGGACTGAAATGCAAAAATGAAAATGTTTTATTGAAAAGCAAAATAAAATAATACTGACACTTCACAAACCAAATCACACAAAGGCAAAAACATACAGAAAAGGGAAAACTCTGGAACAGCTGTACAACATCAAACAGCACGGGAAGGGAAGATATTTTTTCCAATTTGTGCCACGCTGTTTCCCAATGAAAAAACAATGAGGAACTTTGCATGAGCTGCATATTGATAAATGTTAGGTTAGAGCACAGAAACTCAAATGAATCAACTGATTCAGATGGATGCTGTGACAGAATCCCACAATGGAAACCGCACGTGGCATAGAATGAAATGACAGGCGTATCTGAGGCACTTGCAGATCTGCTTTACAGTTGGGACTGGGCTTTACCCTTGGCCTGAAATATCCCAGCAAAGCCAGTGGTAAAGCTCCTGGGTGAGTGGAACCTGCTTCTGGACTGTTCCTTGCACACTGCTCCCTCTGACCTCTCAGGTCCCTTCCAAACCTTCGCACATTTCGTCTTGTGGCTGCTCTGCTGATGTCCCTCAGTACCCCTGTTCTGGGGTTGCAATGACACCAAAGGCCACTGCAGTGTATGCCTGAGAAAGTCCAGGCCTATTAATTATCTGGAAAACTCTTCCAATGAAATCAGCAAAATACATGAGGTGCATTTAACTTCCTAAAATAATCAGACTTACTAAAACATCAGCATAAAATCTCTTGGTAACTCAGGCGAAAGTGAGATGTGATGTAGTGAATCCTGGGATGTCAATTCAATTTATGAGTATTTGGGAGTCAATCTTTTAAAAATCATACAGGAACCTAACAGAGTTCTGCTTTGGCTGCAGGGCCTTCCCTCTGCCTGCAGATCTGGCAGCTGATCACAGAGATGCTTAAAACACAAACAAAAAGGTGAAGCTGGGCACAATGACAGGGTTGCAATGGGTTCACAAAGCCAGGCATGGGTTTGGGTGCTATCTCTTATAAACAAAGTTTTCTGGAGTGTGAGAAGCAGCTCTGTCCCTCCACAGACAACCACAGTAGAAAAGCTCATAACAAAACTTTTAAGCACCTCTGAGCAGATGAGGAGCTCCACTGCCTCCAGTGAAGCTGACTGCAATTTTACCTGCTTAAATCAAAGCTTATTTGGGGTGGGAAAGATAAAGAGGACAGTAAGAAAGAAGCCCTATTTGTTACACATCTGTACAGTGTCCTGGTTCCAGCCAGGACAGGGTTCATTTTTCCAGCAGTCAGGAGGGGGCATCTTCAGGACACCGAAGTTATTCTATACCACCTTGCATTTGCAAGGGGTGGAGGGAAGGGGGTCTCTTTTGGAGAGAAAGGGTCCCAGCACAGTGCAGCTGGGCCAGTGCACGGCAGCTGGATGTGGTCAATTGTCAGGGGGTTTTTCCACGGGAATGATTCATTTCTTGTACCCTCTATCACCAGTATTGTCGTAAATGTTCATTTTCTTATCTCATTGCTGTTTCCAGTAAATTTTTCTTATCTCACAGCAGGATCTTTACCTTTTGTGCCTTCAATTCTCCTCTCCCTCCCTCTGCAGAAGGAGGGAGAAGGGGAAAATGAGGGGCACATGGTTTCAGGGGGAGCCCTGAATTGTAGGGTACCTTTCCTAAACACGACATAGAGTACCTGACTAAGGGCATGCGGGGCTGTAGCTCCCTGCGGCCCTGGAATAACATTGTTAATCACAAAATGCTAAGGGCAAAAAGGTTTACCTGATACCAGTCCCACACCTTTAAGGCTGGGCATTTTACTGCGATGCCCTCAAAGCTCCCAGCTCAGCTGGGTAAATAGTGCATAGACTCCTAATTGTAGTGCTTTTATAATGCCATTATAAATGCTTATGCCCCACCCACTGGACACCAACAGAACAAATGCATGAGTCAAAGGTGACTCAGGAGCAACCATCACCAATAAAAATAAGCATGCACTTGGTGTGTGTAATACCAAACTCCACAATTAAGTGGGCAGGTCCTAGCACTAAGAGCTGCAGGAGTATGGAGACACCCCCAGAAACTGAAGTTTTATTTGAAAACATTGTGAACCATAGCACCAGTCTATGCCAGGGCCCCACCGTGCTTTAGCTTGTCCTACAAGAGAGATTAAACTCCCCTCCTCAGCATGAACTCTGTGATGGGGGTTAACTCACCATGCCCTCTCCTGCTGAAGCAAGGATACCTACACAGTGGGGTTTTGTGCTTCTGTTTTGTGCAAATGTTGCAGAAGCTGAGATACTGCTGTATGTTCTACAGCTTTGGGCTGGAATCAAGATTGGGAGAGACTTTGTAAAGCCAAAGCTAGTTTAAACCTAAACCCTGAATTAGAAATGGCAACGTTGTTCAAAACCAGGCATTAAAGAGAGTCTTTATAAAATCATAGAATAATTTGGGTTGGGAAGAACCTTCAAAGGCCACCCTCCCTGCAATAAGCAGGGACATATTCAACTGGATCAGATTGCTCCAAAAACCTTGAGCAACCTGGCCTTGAATGGTTCCAGAGATGGGGAATCCATCTCCCTTGGCAACTTGTGCCAGTGTTCTACCCCCCTCATTGTAAAAGATGTCCTCCTTGAAAGTAGTCTGAATCTACTCTCTATTAGTTTAAAACCATTACCCCTTGTCCATAAAGGGGTAATTGCAAAAGGCCCTACTAAAAAGTCTGTTCCCACTTTTCTTATAAGCTCCCTTTAAGCACTGAAAGGCCACAAAAAGGTCTCCCAGGAGCCTTCTCCAGGGAGAACATCCCCAGCTTTATCAGCCTGTCCTCACAGTCTTACCTATATGGACAGAACTAGTAGTTTTAGGAAGTTCAAGTAAGTTTCTGGGGTGTCCTTCTGAGTTGGACTTATATCCATGTCATTCCAAAGACTTTGGAAGCACCTTGCACAATGCTTTCCCCCAGCCAGTGGCAGAGAGAGTAGGCAGGTTCAGTAGTACATTGGGGCTCCTTGTAGTGCTTGTGAAGTCCCTGAGTTTACTCTACAAATAAACATCTCTCACACACTCCACAGCCTGTACTCATGAGAGATTTCCCTGGATTACAAGGAGCTCTGAAGGATCTGGGGCACTTTTGAGACTGCAGAGTCCCAGAGACTGACCACTTGTTACTAAATGTGCTACAATACAAATAGCACCCAGTAGAGTTGTGGGGTGTTTTTAATGCTACTGTAACAGCTATTTCCCACTGCCAAACTACCTGGATGCATCTACTTCAAAGGAAATTTGGGGAACAAAGATGAGGAGCTTCAAAAGTCCACACCCCCACAGTGCAGCAGGAGTCTGTGAGTCCCACAAGTGATGGGGACTACAGACCTGGGACATGCAGGAAAGGCTCTACACTGGAGTCACCTTGCAAATTGTTCCTCAGCCTCTGCAATAGGAACTGAGGACCAGAAAGGAGTGAATTTACTTAGGACTGGAAGGAAGATCTGTCCTGGATGCTAATGAAGGTCCCATAGGAACTGGATCTAGGAGTACTGGCCATGCTATCACAAGGTGCTGGATGCATCCCTCCTAGATAGCAAATTTAGACCTTAAGCCCAGGGCTTGTGTGGTTGATAGCAAGGACATACATTTGCAGAAAGCAGGTGTTTGCATCTTCGGTCTTTCTAATGACAGAGCAATATCAAAGCTGCAGGGAAAACATGACTATCCTCTGAAATGCTTGGGACATGGTCCTTCATGGAAAAAAACCTGAGTTCCTCCCCACTTCCTGGCCTAACTTGTGGATTTTTGAGGTGTGTTTTGGCTTGTTTTCTGATTGCGTCAAACATTTTTCAGGGATATGCATCAATCCATCAAGGCTTAAACTCCTGCTAATTTTTTTCACTGGCATTTCCACCTGAAGCTGCTTCCAGAACCTGCCCTTTGGGAACTTGGATTTCTCGCCTTTCCATTTAATGACATTCAAGGCCGCTTTGGCCTGCTTCAGCTCCTTCACTTTGCTCTTCTTGATGGCTTTGTACTGCACTAGAATGACTTTGATGTTGCCCTTGGAGGCCATATTCTCTAGGCCAGCCTTGAGCTCCAGCAGGGCCTGTGTCCCCTGCAAGACGTAGTTGGGGCTCAGGACAACAAGCAGACGTCGACTTTTCTGGATGAAGCTCAGGGTTTCGTCTGTGACAACTGGGAGAAAGAAACATTGAGGTGGTTAGTGATGCCCAAGAACGTGCTGCTGAGCTGCTGCTGTGACACCAGGTGACTCTTGAAAGGGACAATAAATCCCTTGGAGGCCCTCTCTAGACTACACTGGTGCTTCCCAACCCTGTAAGTGACTCCAGGTGGTACTTCCTACACCAGGGCTGGTTCCCACTACCCCATACAGTGGCATATTCTCCATCGCTCCAGACTACCTACAGATGCCTTTCCTTCTACCCATGCTACACAGAGATAACCAAGAGAGCTACACCTAAAAGTCACTGCACTACACATCAGTGACACCACCCAGTGCTGTGAGGATGCCTTGCGGCCAAGAGAGCTGCTGATCTCAGGCTGAGATTTAGCTTCCTTCTAATGAGAGGGAGAAAAGAGGCTCTCTGGAGCAAAGCAGGGAAACTGCCAGCTGCGTAACACATGAACTCAAGGGAAAGACTCACCCTGAAGAAGCTTCAGGAAGCCTGAATGTCTGTGCTTACATCCTCATCTGGCAGATGTCCAGAATGACTCTGGATACTCCCTTCACTCTTCTTGCCTCAGTTTCCCCACACAGAGTAAGTATTCACACTGTCCCCAAGTGTTCTCATGGGATAATTTGCTTTGGTAATGCTACCATCCTAACTCCTGTTACTCATCCATCTGTTCCTGCTGCCGTCATCTATGAAAGCAGATTAGAGCATTTTTAGAACTGACTCTGAGGACTTCTAGTGAAGTGTCCCAAAAATGACATCCTTTGAGCTAGAGATATGTCATGGTAACTGTGGATCCTCTTTAATTTTCTAACATCTGCAGGTACACTGTCCTTGGCCACCGTCTGTAATTAATGTGAAAATCCCTTGTAAGTGCGAATCCGGGTGCTTGTACTCTCTGCTGCACAATCTCCCACACTTCCTTGATAAGGGAACACTCTTGACTGGTCAGAAATTACAATGGAGAGTAAAATAATGCTGACAGACAACTTCATTTAGCTGTCAAGCACGTTTGATTAGCTCTTGTCAGCTAACTCACAGGATAATCCATCTCCCACTGTTTCTTCATCAAGGACAACATAACTCTCTACCCATGACACAGATGCATACTCTGGAGGCATGATGCCAGCTGCCAAAAGCTATTTCCTGGCCCCCATGCTTTCCTGAGAAGGAGATTAGTCAAATCCTGGCTAAGAAGCTCCGGGGAAGCCCCAGCAGCATCGTGGATGGCAGTGTGGTGACAAACCACTCCAGCAGCACCCCACAGGGCTGGCACTGGCTTGAGGCTGGCAGGGACTGAGGGGGGCAGATGGAAACATTTGGGGGTAAGGTGAAGCACAGAGAGCCCAGGAGAGCAGTGCTGGGAGGAAAATGACACCCTCTAAAGTGAACAGGGCAAGAAGAAGCAGAGGGAACAGGAGGGAGATGGACATCTGGTGACAATGGCTCAGAGCAAACCTGTTCTGAGCCTGACACTGGCATCAAGCAAATCGAGCCTGGAGGGTGCCCTGCCACATCATTCAAGCTCTCTTCAAGGAGGAACAGCGCCAGGATTGCAGCTGTCTCACTGAGACACACATATTTATTTACCCTCAAACTTTAAGGTGCTCCTAGATCCTGGCAACAATCTAGGAGGGAAAGATAACAGAACCCAGACTGATTCTGCTCCCTTTTTCAGGTAGGTGGGCAGGGAATCCAGCAGTCCCCCTGTTCCTACTCAAAAGAGACACCCCAATGGACTTTCCTAGTACAGGTTTTGTCACCAAAAAAAGGACTTTGGGGTCCTGAGCCAAAGCCCATGAATTCAAAACAGGACAGTCTGCACTGGCAGAAATTCAGACTTTGAACTTTTAATAGGCATCAGGATCATACAACCAACTCAGCCTCCAAAAAGTAAAAATCAAGAGTGTTGTCTAGATTTGTGCCCTTGCTGTGGAACTTGTGTTAAAGTATGCATATCTGGATAGCTTCACAAACTTCCATTCTTGGTGATTCCCTGCCTCCCTGAAGCAGACATAATGTCCAGAACCTCATATGATTTATCTCAAAATACTAAAAAAGGACTATATCTTGCCGAAGAGATGAGTCTCACTACCTGCAACAAAGTCTTTTAATAATAGCAGCTAAATTGTATGCCATATTAGACACAAACTCCCTAATTAATGAGGATGAATGGGACACACGTTATCCTCTCACCGATTTTGATACCTTTCACTCCTTCCTGAAGTAGACGCTCCTGGTTTTTACAAGGATTCTCCATTACTCTCTGTGAGCTGATCCAGTATAACACTTTCCCTGCCTCTTCTAGCCTTGACTTTATCCCATTTTTTAAGGCAGCTCAGAGGGTTTGCATGAAGGTCAGTTTTCCAGTTCCCCATTCTGACATTCCTGCACAACACTCCTGGAAAGAGCAACTGAAACAACCAGCCACCACCCCCACAGCAGCCATTTTGGTGGCCAGGTGCATCTGCAACACTGTCGTGAAGCAAAAACATTAGAAGACACTAAAAAGAGTTCATTAACAGTGATAGGGAAAAAAAACCAAAACATAATCTGGATAGGCTTGTTGCAATCAATGATCAATACCTCAAAGAACAATAAAGGGGATGCACACGGAGCACAGCCCCCTGTGAGATACTCACTTCCCCCAGGGAGGCTGTCTCTGTCGAAGATACACAGCTTGTACCCGAACTCGTTCTCCAGGACTCCGCGCAGCGTCAGCAGCACAAACTCCTCCTCCTCCGCGTTGCGCGCGTAGGACACGTACACATCGTACTCCTTCCCGTCTGGGCAGGGCAGCACAGGGGACACAAAGGGCACAAGGGACACCTGTGATACGGCCCATGCTGGGCCTTTGACTTGCAAGAGAAGCAGGTAGGAAGGCTCACTTGGAGCCCAGGCACTGCAGGTTAAGGCATGTAGATTTCCACAGATTTCCCTTCTGTCCAGGCTTCTTTTGCCACCTTTGACTCTGCTCCCTCTCGCTGCTGTCTATGCACACCAGCAGTCCCACCAGACAGAGACTTGCACCCTGCCTACACCCTCCGAGAGCTGCCGCACCCCCCTGGCAGGTTCACACCACAAGCTGCAAGGGCTCAAACACCCTCCTCCTCCTCCAGAGGAGGAAATCTCACCTCAGAGTCCCTAGCAATGAACTCCCAGTAACACAGGGAAGAACTGAGGACAGAACGGTGATTTCCACATCCATCCTTTTGGATGCCTTCCCACATTTTAAAGCAGATCACTTTGGATCAGATCATGAATCCTTTACATAGAGTCACCAGGGAAACAAGGGACTTATTGGAACCTGATGACATATCTTGACAATCTGAATTGGGTGATACAGCTAGATCAGCAGGGCAGGGCCCTGGGGAGCTGGGCATATCCATGCTCCACCTCTGCAGAGAATACAGAGGACTTCTTTCTCCTTTTCCCTGAGCCAAAAGCCTGATTCCTCTAGCTCTAATGAGCGATGACCCACACAACTGCATGTAGATAGAGAAATGGAAGGTCAAAATGTCATTATACTGTGAAGAGGTTTAAAAATAGCTTATAGGAAAACTCCTATATGAAAATAAAGGGTCTGCAGTAGGATAAATAAAAGAAAGCATTTCAACTCCTTACCTAGAATGGTTTCATCTGTTCCAAAATGAGCCCGATAGAAGAGGACCATTTCAAGCCAATACACGTGATAGATGACTATGAGCACCACAACGAGCAGGATGGTGGCCCCCAGGCCACAGGCCAGCTCCACAGTGTACTTGGGTGCTACAACTGAGTACAAAAATAGACAGGGAGTCAGGGTTAAAGAACAGGTTGGACCATCAGCTGGGCAGGAACAAGCTTGTGTCATGTGCAGCCAAACACCACAGAGGAGCAGCCAGGAGCCAAGCTGACCCTTCACACTAAGGTGGCCAAGCCAAGGCTTTTCTGACAGGGCATGTGGTGGCTGGCCACCCTGGAGCCCCATTCTGGGTTATTAGGTCTGGTTATGCTGGCAGAGCCAAGTCCACAGCACAGGCTGGACTTCTGTCTCTGAGCGAGACTCTGGGAGCAGCCAGGTGATGGAATGACCTGTTGGTGGAAGACACCTGCACAGTCCAAAGCGAGAACATGAACATGACCCTCTCAGCAGTATCAGCAAACTCTTGGGGGAACACAATTGCTCTGACTTCTAAGAGATCCAGATAAAGACTCTGCAGCAAAATAAAGGCAATGGTTACCATTCTCCCTCCCTATCAGACACAGGTCTTGTGGCTTGTCCCAAACTGACACCCAGGATATAACTAGCCATGGCCTGACTCTTTTCTACCACGAAAGAAGAATCAGAGTTCCTTACAGAAAAGCTGAAATGCTTGCAAATAAACAGGGCAACCTGCGAGCATCAAGCCAGAACATCACAGGCCCCCTCCAACTCATGAACTGTCTGCCACACCACTGCTGCTTCTTTGTACTAAGGACAGAAATTTTCTGACTGTATCCCTGGGCAACTCTGTTGGTGGCAGTTGATGTGCAAATTGGCAAACTGCACAATAACAGAACAACAGGGAGTGGAAACATCACCAAATTCCAATATTTAATAAGTTGCTAATAAAACTGAATTACAAAATCAACAATTGAAGGAATTTATCAATGTTCATTAGGTTATGAGCAGCAGAAGTCCATGAGAAGGAGAGGGAAATCATCCAGAAAAAGCAAGAAATGTATATGACCTGGATATGTAATGGAAGAGTTGGAGGCAACATACAGAGCCACCTGCTAAAAGCCAGGTGCTGAGGGGCTAGGTTCTGGCATGCCTGATGCTCCTATGGAATATGCAGAGGGACGGGCTGCACTGAGCTTAGCATAAAGTTGCTCTACCAGCAGCAGCTAGGGATGGCTCTTGGACTTTGCTGTGGAACAGAGCAGGAAGAAGGAGTGGTGGGTAACCATGTCTGCTCAGAGCAAACCCAGTCAACTAACCAAGAACAGACATGGGGAGGAAAAGGGAGAATAGTACAGATCAGTCCACTAGAAAACAGTATTTAGGCACTGATATTTAGAGAAAGAATCTGAGTATTTCAGATTCACTTTGCTACATGTACAAATATTATCACACCACAGCTCACTGACAGATGGTTTCAGCCTTTCTCAGTTATGTGTGTGGTCTATTGTTCCTCCCTAACAATCCAGAAAAGGTTTGTCTCAATGGAATGAGACTAAAATAGAAGGAGGACAAGTATCAAGAAGAAAAAGATCTTCCAGTAAAGACCTCCAAGAGCTTTCCCATGCTTGTAATGCAGAGTAGAGGGAAGAAGGTGTCTGGTGTGAGCTACACAAGCCATGGCAGCATTCCCTGTGGCAGAGGGGAGGTCTGGCTTACAGTAAAAGCAGGTGTTGAAGATCTAGATGAGGCTAATAAGGAGGCAGAAAAACCCACCTTAATCAGGAAGCCTCACATAGCTTTTATTACTGAGAGGTGGGTCTGGGAAACAAGAACCGAATCTCTGATGAAAAAGCAATGTTGGAAAACCCCACACAGAACAGAGCTGAATCAGTCAGTCTACACCATCCATGCTGAGGTGGCTGTATCTAGACTGCAGCATCATGACAGCAAGGAGTAAAACCAGAGAGTGCTGTGGTGTGACTGTCTCACTCCCTGAGCAATGCCAGCGACTGCAGACTGTCTTCTGGAGGATGCCAACTGCTAGCTGTTGTGTCATGCAAAACCCTCACACAACCAAATAACCTGAAATCATTTTAAGCAGCCTGTGCCCTCAGCTCTGCTTCAGCTGTGGTACAGGGATGGGATGAAGACAACAGATCTGTCCTTTCTCTACCCACGAACTTGCCCATGGGGGGCTCTTTGTTCCCTTTGCCTCCGAGAAGTGGTGCAGTATGACAGCAGTGCCTAGAGAACAGTGTTAGGCAGAAAGGCCTGATGGAACTCTTTGCCCCCTTACTGTTTTGCAGGGCAAGGCTGAAGGCAGCAGCAGGAGCCCCCCAGCACACCCTGCCCTGCAGGCACCGTACCTTTCACGCGCACCACGGCCTGGCTGCGCTCCTCGCCTTTGGCGTTCCTGGCGTGGCAGGTGTAATTCCGCTTCAGCTCCTCCGCTGTGGCCTTTGCAACTGTTAGAGTCCTTACCAGAGTTTTGTCTTCAAAATCTCTAGTAATTTCACTGTAAGAGAAAAACACACGTGAAAGTGCAGCAAGTTTTTAGTGACAAATATTCCTTTCCCGATATAACCTCCTCCTTTAAAAGGGCCAAAACACATATCTTGATATTTATAAATCAATATACACTTCAGATTGTAATACAGCTGCAGCTATTCCTTTATCTGATTTTCCTTAATATTTATTTTACTGCTCATAATTTTCTCATTGCAGCTGTGCCACATTGCCTTTTAGAGGAAATGGAAGTTCTTGCCTATAAACAAGAAGATCTCATGAACTCAAGATTCACAGCTCACGTCACATTCCCTGTGCAGTCCTGGATGAGTCACTTTGTCTCTCTCTGCCTGAATTGACCGTCTGCAAAATGAGGATACAGTACTTTCTTTTGCCTTTCCTTTTTCTACATTGGTTTGCAAATCAGCTGGGGCAGTGACTGCCTTCCACTTGTAACTCAGCATCCAGCAAATGGGACTTCGATCCTCATTTGGGTTCTTTATGTGATTGAATCTCTATTCTTCCTAATCCTGTAACACTATGTATAATATTACATTTTTGTTTTCAGCCTCTGTTTTTCTGAAACACTTTTATACCCTATGCTATTTGGGAACACTCCTCTAAATAGAATTGCTAGCCCCTGTTTTATAAGTCCCAGAACAACAGCAGCTGTTGGCATCACTACCAGAACAAATGATGATGTGAACTGGTTAACAAAGCTCCCTCAAATCCATCTGTAAGATATGACACTGTCCAGGTCTGGAGGCCTCCTCCTTGGAGGTCCTGCTGCTCATCACAGCATGGTGCAGACACAGGGGCTTCTGACTGACACGGAGACTGCACACTCCATTAGGACTGTCACATGCCTGTACCCACACACCCCCAGGGGATTAGACATGAAGGTTCACATTAGATGTTACCTTTGTGTGACTTTTATCTTGGGGTCTGTGATGTCATCTGTGTTTCTCCCATCTATGGTCCACCACACCTCAGTCCGGGAGTCCTTCAGGAAAGTGAAGAAAACCTCACAGGGCAGGATAAGGTCATCACCTGCAAAGAAAGGACCATCATCTCCTAGGAGAAAAGGTATTGCAGTGCAGGAACAGCACCTCCCTCACTTCAGTGCTTTCCAAAATCCAACCAGCCTAAGCTCTGCCTCCCTTCAGGAAAGAATGAGGCCAACATCCACTTTCTGACATAAACTGTAATAACAGCTTAACATCCCTGGACATGAGGATTTGTGACAGACATAAATAGAAAAAGATGTCCTGCCTTCTCAAATGTGTTACAAATTCCTTGACTGCACAAAGTGACCCACCCAAAGAGACATGCTCCATGCCAACCACTTCTTTGGAAATCCAGGCAGTGCTAATCAATCCCACTGCACAGATGCCACAAAGTGAAGGATCAAGCTCCACAAAAACATTTTTGTTTGGAAATACTTCTTCAGGAATTTGACTTCTGCTCAAGATCAGACTTGGGAGCGTGAATATCTTGGCGATCAGTAAGTGACTTTATGTTACAGAGGACTATGGATGAAATCTGACCTTCTGAGCCAAAAGAACTGTTCTTTAAAGTGAAGACTCTGGTGCTAATCATCATCATTGCCACCACATTTATTACAGCAATGTAATGGGACACAATCCATTTGATATAGGGAATTGCTCCAAAAAGCTATTAGGCAAAACTGATGGTGTGGGGGTAGGGCTGAGGAAAAGGGTGTGGTACCCCATTACCCAGTGCTGCGAGGTCAGCAGAAGGAGAGATGTCATTAATTAGGAAGTCATCAGCCAATAAAAGGGGAGATGAGCAAGAATTGGCTAAAAGACTAATGCCACTCTAGGGGTGAATGAGGGAGGATGGGAGCAAACCACAGCCTGGGCCAGGGCTGAAACAAGGTCCTACAGGAATTCTCCTAAGCAGCTGAGTGTCCCCGTTTCATCTGCTTCTGCAGCTGCAGTTCTGTATCATCAGGCCTGAATATCTTGCAAAAAATCAGCTTTTAAAGCTGTGCTCTCCATCAAAAACTAGCATCCCACACTGTCCACCAGGTAACCCATGGCAGCTCGAGTGCTCTGAGAGGGAAAGCACCAGGGACACAGTGGGAGAGCTTTGTGCCTGGCTGAGTCTCCCTGTCCCACTGGCACGCTGTGAGTGTTGGACTTTACCTGCTTCCAGTTCATACACAACCTTCTCATTTGGAGACGTGAACTGTGGTGGCAAGGCCTTGTTTGGAGATCCTGCAGGAGACAACACAGAGCCCCCGTGGGGCCCCAGACTTCATGAAAACCTGGAATTCTTGCAGCCTCACTCCCAATGCCCTCGTGCTGCGCTGCACGTTCTCCAGTCTAACTCGTGGTGCATTCCTGCTGTGGAGTTCTGTGCACACACAAATCTAATCCTAGTCCCCAAACTCAGGGCCAGGTCCTGATTTTAAGGCTCCCCCAAAGTTTAGGTAAGCTAGTTTGGGCCTCTCACATGAGAAAGGCTCCATAACCTTCTCATCTCCCACAAGGCATAACCTGCACCAGTTTGTTTTTACTGCTGCTCTAAAAAACAAAATACAAACCTCATTTCGTGTCACAAATATCCATTTCAACCTTTAAAACAGCTGTTTCTGAGGAACTCAGAATGTATCCTACAGCTCACTAGGTTTTTAAACTCTGCAATTCCCTGGCAGGTAGGCTGAGCCTCTGTGCCTGGAACAGATGTGTCCAAGCAGTGAGTACCTGGAGCTCTGCCTAGCTGATTAGCAAGTCTCAACCCCAGCACAAATGGCTTTGAGATTCCAAAAAGACCAAGACAAGTTGGCTATGAAGTGAGAATCCCACAAATAGTGATGAGCAAAGGGCACAGGAGACCACGAGCAGGAGTGCCAAGGTTATGCATTCACATGCCAGCAGAGGGTACCCCTGGCCATCTCATGGGCTGAACCTCACCACCCTGAGGTTGGCCACTCTGTGTTTGGGGCATTTGACAGGGTGGTAGGAGACACCTACTGCAGTATGTTCTGGACAGTCACACAAGTCTGACCCCAGCAAGAAAAAAACTGTCAGGTGAATTGGGTAACGCAGATTGACTACAACCAGAAATGGATCTTGCAACAAACTCTTCCAGCTGTTTTTACCATTTCTGCAGACACCCACATGCATTTTACACATTTTAAAGTCATTCTTACCCACCACCTTCATCTTTATGGTTCTGGTGAGATTATAGGTTCTTCCGTGGTCCTTGAATGTCACAATGCAAGTGTAATTCCCTTTATAGGCACTGCGGACAATGCCAATGACAAGCCTGGGCCCCTGGGGATATCGCTCATAGAAGCCATCCACCGAGTTGCAGTTCTGGAGTCAGGCAGAAAAATACATGAGTTTGGGAATCAAAAGCGCAGATATTGGTTTAAATGCTTCTACAAAGATCTCATTTAAACTGTTAATATGACACTTGGGATCATGATGTAGGTCAGACCTAAATACCATGAACTTTGAGCATGTTGCAATATAGACTGCTATGTTCACCTTGAAAATGAAGTGATGAAGCAGATCACCCTAATAACTTTATCCCACTTTAAACACAGACAATTTTATAAAGGAGAGATCTCTGATTCAGAAGTACCTTGGCAATCAAAGCGAGCACCTCAGCAGAGTGAAGAATAAAGTAAAAAGTGATAAAAAGAAAATGATGACGTATTCACAAATGGATACCAAGACTAAAGGACATGTACCCCATTGATGTCCATCTTTCGGGACTAATCAAGTTCTCTCGGCTGCCTTCAGCTCAGGATGAGGCCCCAGAATTTGCAAATAGCAAATGAGAATCTATAGTACATAAACCTTAATAACTCCTCTCTTTCTGTCAGGCAAGGCAGAAAAACTGCCAAAATACCAAGCTGGAGATCCCTTTTCAGAAAGAGGCAATGCAGATAACATCTTGATTGTCATAAAACCCAAAGATGTGCACATTTTCTAAGAGATTGTTTTTGAATGGTACATTTCCAAATCTGGTACATCCTAATGGGGTAGTTTAGGACAGGGGTTATATACCATTTTTAATGACTTTTATTAGGCATGGGATGACTTGCTGCCTGAAAAATTACTTCCAAGGGGCTTTTTGTTTCATTCTGCTAATTGATTGCCGAGATGTGAATTTCAATGAACGATACAAGTAAAGCATTTAAACTACTGAAGTGAAATGACTCTTCTTGACACAAGAGGAAGTTTCTCCTGAAGGGTTTCAGAGGTGGGATTTTCCTTTTGGGTCATTTTAATTTCTTTTTTAAATCAGCAGATACATTTGTTGACAATTTCCCTTATTATTGAATTCATTTATACAAAATCTTCTATCTAGAAATACAAAAGCACTGTATAGGATGTTCTTCAAGAATTTATTCCCATAACTCTCAGACTTTACATCCCCTGAGACTTCTTATTCTCTACTGACTAAAGGCATCCACCTAGAGAGAAAGAGTGAAATCATATTTAATAAAATTGAGCAGTAATTCTGTAGGCAAGAGCCTGAGGATGGCTGGAGACAGTCTAATAATCAGAAAAGTATGGAGGGTGGGGTAGAGATGTATCAGTTTTCAGAAAAGAGGTTTGCTGAATTGTGTCAAACAGGACACCCATTGTCTTTGCCTGATGTACAACTTCACTTCCTGACCTCAGAGGATTTTGGAAAGGATGCAATTTTCATGAACAGGTGGGTTTTTTTAAAGAAGAGGGAATATGAATGACAGTTTCCTTTCCAGGAAAGTGAGAGGCTCACACACAGCAGGTCAGGCACACTGCCCATAACTGAACTGAGCCACCTAAATCCCTCCTAGGAGTATTTTTCACTTGTGCACGCTGGTCAAAAAGCTTCAGTGTTAGCTCTCAATTTCTTTCCAAGAGCAGTTTTACCCATGAACTCAATGGAAGCAGAGCTCTTAAAATTAGTAAAGCTTCATTAACAGTATCATCACTGGGGAGACTCTGAAACGCAGTTCCATGACTGCCATGCCAACCACTGCTTTTTCACACACACCACTGCATCCCCCTGCTGCCCAAGTAAGTTCTTCTTACCAGGTACCACTTGACAGTTGGTGTCACACTGGCAGGGTAAAACCCATCAATATCTGGACATGTGATCTTCTGATTGGCATGCTCCAAGTAGAACATTTCCTCTGTGGGTTTTATGGAATGGCTCACACAAGAGTGCTGGTCTTTTGGAACAACTTCCAAGGGAAAAGCAACTTTGCTGCAGTAGGTTGTGTTCCTAAGGGTGGATGAGAACAGGGCTGATTAGTTGAAACTTGTTTACTCCTACAGCAGTGGAGTGGAATGAAATAAAAATTACATCTGCAATAACAAGCATCATAGCGCTGATGAGGTATGTACAGCCTTAGTTGACTCATTTATAAATGGGAAAGAAAACCCCACCAGAGGTGGCCACACAAGTTCACAAAAGCCTATAAAGATGACTAACAAGCAACATCCACTCTCCTGCTGCTAAAGCAGATCATAAGGTCAAAGACACAGACAAAAGACAACATGAGGAAGACCAAAAAGAGCTCTTACGCACAGCAGACGCTACGTTCATTTTGCACCACAGTTAGAGACACTCTTAATTTCCTAGAAGTCTGAATCTCATGAATCTTTGCCAAATTAGCGCGCAGTCAAAACATTACCCCTGCATCTGAAGCTATTTTTACTCTAGACATGCAGATCACTTCTTAATGGTGAGTGCCTGTGGATTTTGCCATGGGCTCAGCAATAATATTTTCACGGACACTTGCAGCAAGGAGAGGCACACTCATTAGTGTCTGCAAGGCTCCAAGCATTATTGCCATGTAAATTGGCTCAGCACTGAGCAGTCCTATAATTGCAACATTCTTTTCCCATTAATGCTTTTGTAAATGGTAGTCTCCTCACAGGAAGTTCTGGTGCTAACAGCATCATTTCCCCACCTCCATAAAAGTCCTTTGATTGCACTGAAGATGTACAGAAACTGCACCACACAACCTACCTGAGCATGCAGGTGTAATTCCCAGTGTCATTGAGAAGAGCAGGCCAGAACCAAAGGGTGTCTTTGTCCTTACTGATGTGATTGTCAGGGAGGCGATAATTAATGGGCTCCTCCAGATCCCGGTCCTGCGCGATCCTGTACCAGATCAGGGTTAAGCCAGCAGAATGGGCTGTGCTATAGTTGTACTTCAAGAAGGTCTCAAAAAGTGGGCATTTGATCCTGGCAGGTTCCCCATCATAAATCTGGATCTGCTTCATGGTGTCCACACCCCAGTCATCGCAGCGCTCTGCAGCCAGGAAGAACAAGGTGCTTTAGGCTTGCAAGTCTGCAGGAGGAAAACAGTTCTGCCCCCCACAGCCCTTGGTCCTGTCCCCATTAAAATCAGAGACAAAACTGTAGTGTTTTCAATCAAAGCAAACTGAGCTTTTATAAAACAGAGCAAGAACATTGTGCTCATTTCTAGAGAACCTGGAAACTTCTGTTTTCATTTGCACACCTCCTACGTTTATGCCAAGCTATTTATCTCTCATCAGGACAACAGAATAGGATACTCCTGCATAAAACTAGGCTTCCTACAGAGCTCCAAGAAAATTTACCACAAAAGTCATAGGTGGGAAGATAAAATTTGGATGACAACAAAGCCAGAGGTGTGTGTGCATCCATACACAATGATAGGGAAGATGGAAACAGACGTGCTGAAACAGGAGGAAAAAAAAGAAAATAAATCAAACATCAACCCTCCCTTAATGCTGTGGGTCACTTTCCCTGCCAGAAGAAGCTGGACTGTGGGTTCCAGAAGTGAGGGCTGTCCTTCCTGTGATGGATTCATGTGACACCTGTGCACACCAGGATAGCGCAATGAGTACAAGAAGTAATAAGTGACACAGAAAGACTGTTGATAGTGAAGTTTAGAACTGGAGCCTAGGGGGCAGAAGGAACAGTGTGGAGCAGGCAGCAGCAGGTTCTCTTGTATTCCCAGGCAGTGCCCAGGTGCAAACCCCAAGCACAGTTCAACAACAGGCAGTGGCTCAGTGTGGCTCACAGCAGACTTGGACTGACATAGAAAATATAAAGCACGAGAAAAAGCTGTATAGAGCTTTCTTTCTTTAATTACTTTCTTTTAAAAAATATTCTTGCCATTAGCAAACAGTTTTACCACAAAAAGCACAGTCCAAACCCATTTCTCTTCCAAGGACTCTTCTCCACTCTGCTCCTCCAACCCATCAGGATGCCCAGGCAGGCAGGGACTCGGTGCAAGCAAAGCACAGTCCCAGGGTGTCAGCAAACCTGGGAGCAACCTGCGCTGTCAGAGCCAACTGAGACACACGGAGAAGCTGCTGTCACTGCACCTCCTGCCTCCCCACGCTGACAAGGCAGAGCACAGCATGGCACACTTCCCAGTGCCTCTCTTGGAGCTGCTGGGAGGCATTTGCTAGGGCAGCCTGACGTCTGAGAACCCAAAATGAGTCAAACAGGAGAGGGGTGTGCTGCCTGCAGCAGTCCTTGGGAGCAGTGTCTCAGCACATCACACACAGGCTCACCACAGACGACACTGCAAAGTCTCTCTCATTTGCAGATATTAGAAGAACTCAGACTGAGAGGAGAAACAGAATACAATATGCTCTTTGAGCCAAATTCTTCTGAATTCTTCTGAACTGACTTCACAGGCCCAAAGCAAGATTTCTGGCATTTATTCTTCCCTAAATAGACAGTGGGATGTAGCTTGCCCCCAGATTCATACTTAATTTTAAAAAGCAGAGATAAACCTTTGAGAAGACAAGCCTGCAGCACTTAAAGGCAGTGATGCTAACTCCTGTGGCTCAGCAATGGTTAGTCATGGGCAGGAGGAATCTGGGCCAGTAAGAATAGAAATGTTTTCTGGCGGGTTTACACATAAATGTAAATGCAAGCTGCACTGCTCCTCCTGCAGTATGCCAAACACCCATATGACAGAGTGCTACTTCTGGAGGAAGAGAATGAATTGGGCTAGGAAAAGGCGGTGAAGCTACCCAGAACACAAGCATTTGTTCAGAGGAACCCCAACCCCAAATATCTGGAGAGTGCTCACCATCTAAAAACATACAGATCTTTCAGAAGTGCACAGCATCACACACTATGGCTGCTACCACAGGCAGTGCCGAGGCTGGAACCACTGCTGGAAGCCTCACACCCTGGGAAGGAGCATAATGACCCATCACCACCATGATCAGGGCAAACTGGAACCAGCAGACTGCTTTATGCTGGTGAGGCCATGAACTAGGCATGGTCAAATGTCCTTAGAGTGGTAATGAGACAATGAGCCTGCAGAGACTGCCTGCTAACTGCATGATAAAGCATGGGCTGTTACTCATGGAGACAGGGCAGTTTTTTCTGTAAAGAAAGGCTTCCCCTCTGAAAGGAGCAGACCTGGCTCTGTAAATCAGGATGCCCAGGTTCTCTTCCCAGCATCTGACTTGTGTCTCCTCTTGGGCTGCATAAAGGCAAATCATCCTTATTACTTCAAATGGCAGGACTGGGGAGAGAAGAAACTATATAAAACATTACTGTACTGAAATTCTTGGAGTCAAGATCAATGAAATTTGCAATCGTGAGCAGCTCTTGCATTTTGCAACAGCCCATAAATCAGCACTGTAAAACTACTTACCCGTTCAACCTGAATGAGTTATTGAAAATAAATACAACTATTTTCTCTTTTTTTCTTTCTACATTTCTCTAAAACAATACCCAGGCCTCGCCTTCTTAGCTTGGGAAGAGGGGACTGTTGTTGTTTTACTGTAAGAGCTGTACCTGGAGGTTTTGTCTCAGAGCTGGCCTGGCTTCAGGGACACTGTCACAGCAAACAGGTGGTGCTCAGGCTCCCCATGTGCCCTGCCCTGGGGTGCTGCAAGCTGTGAGCTGAGCCCCAGACACAGCACACAACTGCTGGTAATGAGCAGCTACACCCAGAGCTCAGGAGCAGCTGTGCAGTGGGAGATCCCAGGCTGTGCCTCCCTCCCAAGGCAAGGACTCCTCCTGGCTGCCAGGGAAAAGCCACCCAGCACGACTCCGAGGGCTCAGGAAGTACTGCCATGACCCCTCACTCAGAGCTGAGATGGCAGGAACACCACAGGCTGCAGCAAAATGTCCTTAACACATAAAACACCGAGGACAGAAATTGTGGTGCTTTGCACAGCTTCCCTGTGCCATGCTGACAGTTACACTGCTATTTCTACATTTTGGGGTGGTTTACTCCCAAGACAGCCGAGCTCTGCCTGATATAAAGTGTGAGAACTGCAGGGCACCCCTCACACCTTTGTGAGCCTCCTCACCTGTGACAGTGCTCTTCTCCCTGTGACAACAGCAACCTTTGCTGTGGTGGCACTTCTGCAGCAGAGCCCAGCAGATGGGGCAACATGTCCACACACATCCATTAAGTAGAGGGGATACATTACTATTGCTATAGTTCTATTTGCATCCAACAGCTCCCCACAACATTTTGTGCTCTTTCCGCTATTTTAAGGTCTACTGGATACTCAGAGCCTACTTGCTGCTAAGATCAGCATGCAACTACTTGTGTGTCAGTCTAAATTGGAGACAGCCTGGCATGCAAAAAAATGGCATGACTGACCCTTTATTGGCAAAAAGCAGTCCCACTAGGAAAAAAAAATATATACATAAACACATTAATATATGCTGATTCCAGCAACAATGTGATTTGAGGGAGCACTGCAGAAAGAGGATGCAAGGATCCAGTTGTAATTGTGAAAAACAGCAATAACTTCTATGGTGCTGAACATGCAGAACAGAGGTGCAGAATCACCTCCCTTGACCTCCTGGCTGCACTTCTTTTGTTGTGACCCATTTGTAGCAACTCACACTTGTTTTCACCGGCTAAGCCTCAGAAGTGAGTTTCTTCTCTCTTGAAATGTTTCCTGCAAAAAACAGCTGCTGGAGTTAAGAGCACCTCCTGATCAAATCAACTGGGATCAGCATTCATGCTGCAACTCCCGAGGTTCCCTAGCAAATGGAAACTAGTGAGAAGATGGAGCTATATCCAACTCCACATCTCTTCTATGCTGCAGCAAATGGAGCACTACACATACACCTGAAGGGCACAGTAAAATTCTCTAAAAATGCACCATCCCACAAATGCACCTTCCTAGAAATGGCTCTGCAAAATGATTTTGAAAGAAGCCACCTTGTCCTCAGTACCAGTGAAGAGCACTGCAGCTCCCTTGACCCCTCCTACTGCTGAATGCCCTCCAATTGCACAGCGAGCCTGTGACCCACAACACCTGCCTGGGACAGACAATGCGGGGAAAAGGCAAGAAATGGTCCTGTTTGCACAGCCCTGCTTAGGAAAAGGGGTGAGGATCTCCCATACAGGCTGCATGGTGGAAGGAAACACCCATCTCCAGAACTGGAAGACAAAGTGCAGGCAGGGCAGCAGGGTGAGGATAAGGATGTCCAACTTGATTTCATATGCCTTGATTTCATGCCTGCCTTGCATGCAGACTGGGACCATGCAGTGGCAGCAGGGCACAAAGCCATCAGTGCTGCCAGATTAATGATCCCTGTTCCTCACACCACTTCAGCTGCAGCATCAGGTGGGGCTGTACTATCATAGGATGACTTGGTTGGAAGGAACATTAAAAATCACCCAGTTCCAACACCCTTGCTGTGGGTGCAGGAACATCTCCCTCTAGACCACATTTCTTAAAGACCCATTTAACCTGGCCTTGAACACTTCCAGGGATAGGCCATCCACAGCTTTTCTGGGTATCCTCTTCCAGTGCTTCACCACCCTCACAGCAAAGAACTTCTTCTTAATATTAAATTTAAACCTACCCTCCTTAAGCTTAAGGTCATCCTCCCTTATCCATCACTATATGCCCTTGTGAGTTCTTCTGCACCTTTCTGTGAGGTCTCCTCAGAGCCATTTCTTTTCCAGGCTGAGTAGCCCCAACTCTCTCGGCCTGTCTTCACAGGAGAGGTGCCCCAACTCTCAGATCAACTTCATGCCCTCCTCTGGACTCACTCCAACTGATTCATGTCCTTTTTATGCTGGGGACCCCAGAGCTGAACACAGCACTGCAGGTGGGGTCTCAGCAGAACAGAGGTGCAGAATCACCTCCCTTGACCTCACAGCCGCACTTCTTTTGTTGTGACCCATGACACAGTTGGGTTTTTGGGGCTGCCAAGTCATATCTCAACAGGTTCCTACTCATCTGTCCCTGCTGCATTACCTCAAAGCAAAGCTGGTATGAGTCAGCCTCTACCCATGGGGCACAGCAAGGCCAGCCTGTT